TGTGTGTGTGTGTGTGTGTGCGTGTGTGTGTGTATGTGTGTGTGCATGTGTGTGTGAGTGTGTGTGTTTGTGTCAGTATGTGCATGTGTTTGTATGTACTTATGTGTGCGTGTGTGGAAGCATGTGTGCCTGCGTGCATGCATGTGCATCATGTGCATGTGTGTGTCAGTGTGGGAGCCCATGTAAATATGTACGTCGTGTGAGTGTGTGAGAGCGAGTTTTGCGTATGTGAGAGGGTTTATGATTATGAGTTTATGCAGACATGACACTTTATTCTCTTATTGATGTCACAGAAACCAGTGAACCATTGACTATGGTGTAGCTGTTAGACAATTCGCTATCACACCCTGGAGACCTGAGTTTGATTCTTAAGAGGAAAGAAATTTTGATCGAGCATCGCGACCTTTCTGCTGAGATGCTGTATTCCTCTCAGCCCAGTTGGCTCTGAAAGGCAGGGTCATAAGCCCACCTCCTAAATGATCTAAATTGTGTTGAGGGCACATTAACACTTAATGGTCACTTGGCGCAATAATGCCACGGCGTATATGATCCATTCCAGTCACCTGGCGCAGTTCTGCGTCAGACGCCAGAAGTCTGTTGCTGTCACTCTTCTGGCTGAGTGACCAGAAGGGGTTTATTGTACTGCTGGGTGTGTGACTGCAAAGTGTTAAAAACACCAATATTTGAAAGAAAGAAAAAAGAAGTTGGCAAAGCAAAAGTATTACAAGAGTTAAAGTGCTGTGTTACAAAAGAGGAAATTGGTACTCACACTTCATCAATATTTGGGTGGTAAACACGATTCATGAAACCTGCAAACAAAAAAAAAGACGATAATGAATACACTGGGGGGAAAAAAAAAGAAACAGACAAAATATTTCTGTTCAGACCCTCGGTTTACATCACAACCTTTTAAATCCTGTTTCTTTGTTAAAGAGGAGTGTCAACACAATGAGAGTCATTCAGTGCTGGCAAAAGGAAAAAAAAAAAGAGACAACAGTGAACTCCCTCAATCCCAAGCTAACACAAGTTGCACACTAAATATCTGCATGCGCAATGACAGACCAGGGGCAACGCAGCCAGACGTATTATTATATATATGAGTACAGTCGAACCAGCTCTAATGGCCATACCTGTATAGGACAATAACCTGTGTACAAATGACCCCTTCCCCCATAAATTGTTTCAAATTATAATGACACTGTGTAAGATGTCCACCTGTTTAAGACCGCGACTTTTCTCCTCGAAAATGAGTGGCCGTCTTAGACAATTGCAGCTGTAATTGTCTCCATATCATTTAGAGCTCTGCAGTTCTTCACAAAGATTAAGTCTGAGAGCACAAGCGTACCCAGGTTCATCAGTGCCCTTGGGTGTAATGCTCAGGCTCTTTGCCTTGCGTTTTAGTAGAGGTTTTACGGCCCTCGCAACTGCATAAGGTCATATGAGCGCCAGAAGATTAGAGGTGTAACAAGATAGTAACAAACATAAAAAAGAAGAACGGGAGATAAGGACGATAGATGTTTGATAGGAAAGAAGAAGCAGACCACACCAGAGCACCCGCCAACCACCCACTTGCCTTGCGTGCAAAAGACATGGGTTCGTTGTCGACATGAGGAAGGCATTTCGTTGAGCATGTTCAGGGTATGATACAGAAACAAATAACAAGAGAGATATAAAGACAGGGTGAAAATATGATGTGTTTGCTCATCAGTATACAAGAGTTGCTTTCTCCAAATACAGGTAAAAAATTATCCTTTAATACATATCATCATCATAAAATCTGTCACAGTAGCTGTGATTTTCCGTCATTGAAAGCAAACTAATAGTAGTAGATCTACTAAAAAATCTTTTATTTAAAAAAAAGTACCAACCAATGGAGGGTGATTTGAACGGGTACTTGTCAGGGAGGTCAACCCGTACTTTCCACACACCTCCCTCGTATGGCGCTGAAAAAAGACAACAAACAAAACAATGATTACATAATATAAAACTTCTTTTGAATTTACCCCCAAAAAAATTATAATGGATCATTCAATCATCAAATAAATATACAAATATGTGTAGCAACCCAACAAAAGTATGAGTCACATATCACAGTTTGAAAATACTACATCACTATGGGATCAAATTCAAGATAAGTTTAAGCTTTATAAGGGGGTAAAAACAGTATTAGTTCCAAAGTTATAGTCACTTGAAGTTGGGGTAAAGAAGTACAGTGTCTCAAAATTTGAGGTTTTGCCCGATATCTTGAAACAGTTGGATGCAACAAGCCACTCATTCCGTCGTGTTGCTAAACATATTGGAGTCTGCTGAAACAGAAATCTGCAGGACCCCCAGATTTTCTGTTTGCAGAGGTTGCTCCAATAATCTCCTACGATTACCAACACACCATCCAGCACAAAGTGCCTACATAAAAAAATTTGATGGCAACAAGGCTAGAGGGCGACCGAGAAAGACCTGGATAGATGGAGTCAGGGAAACATTAACCACCTACGGCATCCCCCAAATCCAAGTTCTCCGGCTGGCGACAGAGAGACGTCTCTTTCTTCCCGCGACTCCCAAAAGCGGAGGATAAAAGTAAAGTAAAGCTCCAATACAAGAAAAAAAAGGAGGTGGGGGGGGGGGGGGCGAACAGAGATTTTATCTTCTTTGGGTTTACCGCAGAATTTTCAGATTGTGAAACCGCATTAAGTTTCAGCTGACTCTACTATAATTTTTGAAAAGTTTGAAAAAAAATGTACTTACTGCCAGAGGGTCCATAGAACTTGACCATGAACTCATTGAGGCCTCCCAAGATGGTCACTTCATGTTTACTTTCAATGCTGGTTTTAAGGTCAAGGAAGGGTCATCATTTCATACAACAAAGAACCATAAAACTTAATTCATTTTCCCTTTTTTTCAGTACGATAAAGCTCTTCCAAAAATATGTTAATTACTTCAGATAATAAAGAATAAAATTTGAATAATTCATGACAGCAATAAAAGAGTTTTAAGCATCCATCTCTTGTCATCCATAAAGGAAGGTTTGGCAACAGCTTCATATCCACCATGTCAACAAAACAAAGATAGCAGGCAAAACATCCTGTATCAAGTGACATGATTTATCAGCTGGCTCAGGACCAGTAAAAAAACAACCCAACATATTACATAGAAAAAGGGACAGTTATATAAATGTAGAACACCAAGCATGGGTCACAAAAACAGTAAAAATAATAAGTATAATAATTAACAATTGATGATAATGATAATAATCATTGATGATGATGATGATAATAATAATAATAGAAATAATAATAATGAAATAATAATAATAATAATAACAACAACAACAACTATAACAATAACAACAATCATCATTATCGTATTTATCTGTAAAATATCACTAACAAAAAGGGTAACAATGAAAATAGAAGACATGGCATTTTTAAAAGGGGATGATAATAACAAATGGATACGGTGTGCTCTCTGAGCAATATTACCCCCAAAAGACCACCTCATCTGTAACATTTTCTCAGGTTTTTAGGTTTGAGCTTACAAAAAGATACATTTAGTATTGGAAAGAAATAGTTCAGAGACACATTCACAAGCTAATGATCACGTAGAGCAGGAAAATAGCAAGACAAACAGAATAAAGAGAGGAAGAGAGTATAGAAGTAGACCAACATGTCAGCACCCACCGCCTATCCACACAAAGATCAAAGACTTTAGCCTTGCAAACTCTCCCTCATAGTGAAAGCTGACTTATTACTTTAAAATTATGTTGGGACTTTTGAAAGATTTTTAAAATGCAGTAGTCTCGGCCTAAGATCCCAACATTTACAATCCCGGTTCACTAAAGATCCCGCTGTTTTAGAAAAAAACAGAATGTTTACAATACAACAGTCACCCCTAAGATCCCGCTCTCATTCACTCTGAAGATCTACATTCGGCAAAGATCCCGCATTTCAGATCATAATTTACTGAACAAAAACCCGGGCCAGCAGAGCCGATCAACCAAGAGTGAAAAGTTGAGATCATTGAACTGCCCGTCATGTCAAAAATCAGCCACTCTTGAGAATGTGATCACATAAGCCATGTAAAACTCGATGAAGCGGTACAATGTTTGCCCCAGATAGGACCACATCAAGGTGAGAACTGACCGACGAGTTTATTCTCCCCAAACATCGCACTCATTCTGAGCTATCCACCCTAACTTACATTACTCGCTGGGTGGGTAGGGCCTATAAGTTCGCACCGAACTGTGAACCCCTGACCATTGCAGCTCTTGTCTCTATTTTCAAATTTGTGAGACAGACTGAATTTTAATTGGTGTGGTCACAACATAATGGTGCGTAACGACAAAGGCAGGGGAACTCGGTCAGACATGGAAAGCTATCAATTTTGTACAGCAGGTAAAGGGGAGGGGCAACTGGATAAACATAGATCTTGAGACTCACGATAGGATAATAGTGTAAATCGCCCCATGCCACAGTGACTGGTCATCAAGGTTGACCACTCTTTGCTAGTCATATATGTCATTAACCCACCCAGGGGTCGCTTCATTTCATTTTAGAGTGAAGGGAGGCCATTTACTGGTTGTGGGCCTTAACATGGGTCACCATAGATTCTTCCCTTGGTGCGTCAACTAAGATCCCACTCGCCTAAGATCCCGCATTTTTCTTGCTCCCGAGCACCGAGATCTTCGGCGGAGACTACTGAATAATATTGAAACGCAAATTCGTCCGGGTAGCTCATAAAGTGTTGAAAAATGGTTGATGACTCAAGTGAATCTAGGTATAAATCAACCACAAGGCAAATATTATTTAAATGTTTAACAACTAAGTTTATATTTATGTTTCACTATGGTGTGATTAACTTAGGTTTGAAATCTTAAAAGGGACAGTCTAAGGTTTCTGGTGAGTTTTTGAGGCTCTCAACCACAAAGAAAGTTCCAAAAGTTAAATCACCGATTAAAATTCAAATACTGATATCATTAGGGTACTTTATCAAGCCTGACTTTTATATATATATTCCTGTAACCCTTTTAAAAAGCAGATACATATATTAGGAGAGACTTAACATTACACACAAAGTACCGTTGAACCTGTTAAAATAGACCATCCTCTGTTCAGGACAAAGGTAATCTTAGACAAGCTGTCTTTTTGGGCTGTTTAGGTAAAAGTGAAGAAAGTAAAATTCCCTTCCAAGCTCCCAACCGGAGGTGGTCGCATGCTTCAGACTCAGACAGCCATAAGGTTCATTAAAATGTTGGGGGGTTTTCGTTTTGTAGGGTAAAGGGAGGGTTTTTTTCCCCCTTTTTTGTTGCTGTTGTTGGAGGGTTATTTATTTTATTTCTTATTCTTAAAACATTCCAAACTGGTCAAATTGGGAAAATAGTAGAGGAGGGACCACTAGCCTGGCCTGCATTATATGCTGATCAGTTTTGTTACATTATGGAAGTGTCTTAAGGCGCTCGCAACTGCATAAGATCATATGAGTGCGCAGGACACTTTAAACATTTTCAGTTTGGTAGAAATTTTGAATTTTGCCGGGAGGGGGGCGGCGAAGCCTACTCTTATTGATTTTAGACCACCAAGGGTGCAACATGTGCAACTTGCACTCTGGACCTCTGAGATATTTTCCCTTTGTCGGAGAAGGCTAGGTGTTAGACCTTACCTACCATAAAGATGAAGGGTGTGGCTGAAAGACAGAAATAAGAAGGAACCAAGGAGCAGCAGTAGAAAGGCTACAGAAAGAATCAGTAGCCCAGAAGATGGGGCAAAGGGGAGGGGGAAGAAGGCAGAAAGTGGAGGCGAAAGCAGATTACAACATGGTTAAAGAGCAGGAAAGGAGGTGAAAGGAGAAAATTTTACAGAAGAAAATTGTCCGTCGCGATCAGGCTTCGGATCCAGGACCTATTGAATGAGCGTCGAACATCATAACCTCAAGACCCCCCCCCCCCCATGCTAATCAGTGAGCAATGTAATGATAGGAGAGGCTTATTACAATGACAGGAGAATGGATTACGACAGCCTGTCTAAAGCATTAGGGGATGATAGTTTAGGGGCAATGCGTCACGCAACAAGAGATTTGTGTTGTCATCTTGGAAAGGTTGTTGGGCCGTTGGTTGATAAAATACATAGCAGTTGTCTTGAACAGTGTCATTATAGAAAATAATACAAATTTAATCTTATTGAGAGATCGTGAAGGAGGTAATGTTCATCAGATTCATAATAAAAAGGAAATATAATACAAACACAAAAATGCATGGACAAGATGAATATTGCCAGTTACTATCAATTAACTTAAAAAAAGACCAAATGTCATTTACCCGGTATCTTTGAAAAATTAACAATCTGTACAGCCACGATACCACAATTTGTCTACATACATAGATGGGCATGAATGAGTTTAGACACACTAAATCAAATAAAAGACCGACTTACTCAGAAGGTCTTGTAGTCGAGTGAATAAAGCGTAGAGTGATTATGGTCAACTCATGCTTTTAAAAAAATGTCAGTGACACAGCTTATGGATTGACAGTCACTTAGGAAAGTCTTTGAGCATGACATGATGACCTTGCCTAAAAGATGTAATTGCACTGATGTGATGAGCATGTAAGATGTTTGTGAAATTGATTGAAGATGAAAGAGAGTGTTGATATCATCATATGTTTTACCATGAGACACGTTGCAATTTGTGAAGTACTTTTAGTATGCATGTTGTTCATTGTTACCGTACATGAATTTCTCTTCTTGTAGATCAAAATGAGATTTTTTTTTCCTTTTTCTTTTATCCAAAAAAAGAGAGAAACATGTAAGATTACTTCAATATGAGATCTAATATATAAGTGTAGTAATCTCATAAACAAAGGTTTGCTTGTTCAACAGTTTAACACCTTCGGGACCTCCGACCGACCGATTCGGACCACCGACGTGTACTTTTACGCGATAGCAATACCGCTCATTCAAGCAGAACCAGGTTTATTCAAAATTATCCATGTTTTCTGACTGCTTGTTCAAGCATAGAAGAGTTCTTTCTCTTTCGAATTCACTGAAGTTGAAGCCAGTTTGAGTTGATTAGAAGTTTTAAAATGTCTTCAAAAATGAGTATTTACAAGGGATGTGGGCAGCGGCTCCGGTCCTAGGGATAGGATCAGCTAGTGTGGGGTCGTCCGGAAAGTGTAAAATTAGGAATATAAATAGACGTGATGCCAAAAATTCCTCAGAAATAAAACAAAGAATTGCAATGGCTAAATATGGTTTCAATAAATAAGTAAATAAGTCCAATCCAAAAAAATAGAAACACCTTAATGACTACCAAAATGAAAGTTCTAAAAATAGGCTACGTATGGCCAACCCTTCTATACTGCTATGAATGCTGGAAAAGCACAAAAGACAACTAAGTAGAAAATAAATAAAAGCAACAGAAATGTTGATTTGAGAATTCTTGGAAGAAAAAGAAATAATAATAATAATAATAATAGATAGCATTTGTATAGCGCATATCCCCGCTCAACAGCAGGCTCTATGTGCTTTACCCTATATTATTACCCCAGCAGACCATAGAGCACTCCGAAACATTCTCAGCTTCCCTGGAAGCATACAGTGCGAGCAGCCGATTAAGCGCTCAAACAATAACAAACTGACAAGATCTTTCGCTGTCTATAGCCGGGTACCCATTCCCACCTGGGTGAAGTGAGGAAAATAAGTGTAAAGTGCCTTTCCCAAGGACACAACATCGGGCCCCTGACGGGATTCGAACCCACGACCTTACGGTTGCGAGTCCGAGAGCCTAACCACTAGACCACCGACGCCAAATGAAATGAGGCCGCTCATAAACAATTTTAAGAAAAAAAAATGCAGTTTCTGGGAGACTTGAATAAAGCCTGGAACATCTAGCTCTCACTGGCAAAATTGAAGGCAAGGGTAGACCCAGAGCAACCTTCTTGGAGAACCCAAACAGATGAGTGACAGGAAAAGATCACGATGATATAAGGTTTTTAAAGAGCATCCGAACAAAAAAATGAACGGAGGACCACGATTACTGATGTCTGTCGCAGACTTAGCACATGATGATGATGATGATGACAGTGTGCCTGTGTGCTTGGTGACTGAGACATAATTTTGATACAATCCAGTATGCATACCAGGATTATGAATTGTCAAGCTTACTGAGAATGCAAAGCAGAACAAAATGAAAAATATAAGAATCAAGCAGTCCAAATTTCCATAAAAATGAGCTGTTAAATTTGGGTTCAACTCAGTCTGAACATCTCAGTTTCGCATCTTGAAACTCCCCCCCCCCATTTAAAAGTATCCTCAAAACAAGACTTACCAGCCGGAACAACACACTCAGTATCATCCCTGTTTACCATCTTCTGCCAAAATGACAGAGAGCATCATGTGGTTTTCACCTTCCCTAATAAAATACACATTTCCCTCCGGTCCTCAATATAATCAAGGTTATAACATTGGTCCAGTTAAAAACAAGCATGATAACAATATTTCCTTTCTTTGTTAAAAATTGAAGCTTCAAGGTGTATTTTTTTTCGAGTGGCAGCATGTTGCATCACCAACAATTTTTGGATCTACAGTCTGAGTCACTTTCCAAATCAAGATTGTTTTAAAATCAAATCCTTCTACAACACACTACTTTTCAGCGTTCAGTCTCACAAACTACTTCCCCAATGTTGCCGATGATTAATTTTTTGGCATGGTGAATGAGATAGGTCCAGATCCAATTTATTTATAACTTTCGCAAATTCTGAATGACAGCACACTGGCTGATAAGAGTTAAAAATTATTGGCCGGCTTTATTTCTCCGAACGCTCTGGAAAATAAACTTGCACTCGATTTCTCCGAACAGTTTCCGTTCTCAAGATTTGTTGATGATTTGCGAATGGAGTGGCAACCGTGTGTGCGTGTGTGTGCGTGTGTGTGTGCGTGTGTGTGTGTGTGTGTGTGTGTGTGTGTGTGTGTGTGTGTGTGTGTGTGTGTGTGTGTGTGTGTGTGTGTGTGTGTGTGTGTGTGTAAGGTGTTAACCGGGCGTTGGGGCGGGGGGAGGGGGGGCGTGAAGGGATTATTTTTGTTTACATGAAGGATTTTAGTTTTTGTTTTAGGGGTGATGAAATGCAAATTCTCGCAGTACCTTTTTAAGGCATTTTCAAATGAAGTATAGTCCAGGAACGTTGCCCCAACCACAACTGAAGTATCTGAATATTCAATCATTTAAAAATCTCTAGCTATAGAAATTGAATTTGATGAAAAAAAATGCTTCTTCCCAGTCCTCGCAGAAAGGCAGAATGAGAGATGACGCCTAAATCTCGCAAATTATAACCCAAAAATTCTCTAGAACAGAAACTGTTCGGAGTAGAGATCAAGTTTATTTTCCCGAGCTCTCAGAGAAATAGTCACTTCGTAAATTATTTTTCCATGAAGAATCTATTATCTATTTGTGGTGGCCGAATTTTGCTATTCAAAAGGCTTTTTAATGGCTGCATCGAACGACATGCGGTCTTCGCAAAAAATTCTTAAAAATATTCTCCAGAGCATGGCGCCCTTGTTTTTTTCAGTTTTGAGACAGCTTTGCTGCAAAAAGCAAAATTTCTTTATTTCGCCAATCACTTTTGTAGGCCGACGCTTCTGTCTCTGTAATTTTAGAACATCCCGAAGTGATATTTCGCGAGGCGCGTTTTGTTTTGAGAGTATAAATCTAGACCTTATAATTTTTTGCATCTCTCAAGATTTATTGCCCCATTCCATTAGAGTGTAAATATAGTAGGCCAATGACTTTTAGTTGATGTTAAAGCACCGGCCTAGACGGTCAGAGAACTGTTAGTTTAAGAACGTATAGGCACCACCGATCATTCCTTTCATCGAAAGGGGGCGCAGCTAGTTCTTTTTAAAGTCAGTTTGACTTGATAGTCAAACCCTTTAGTTTTAACTTTTTCAAGCACTTACGAACAGTGAACTACAAAGAAGTGAGTCATACTTTCTAAACTAGAGGCTGGTGTAGAAGTGTAGAACTGATGCACAATCTAAAATCTAGATCTAATCTAGATCTAGATCTATCTAGATCTAGTAAAGATTCTAGGTGATAAAACTCTTTGTTCCAGAAGAAATTAGATCTAGATCTAGATCTCGAATGATCAAGACCCCATCTTCTTGTAAAAAGAGCTCAAAGTAGGTGGTAGCTGTCGCAGCATTAAAAAATGAATCCTTAGATGGGCAGTTTATAAACAGATATTGTTGGTATAAACCTAGAATCTAGATCTAATCTAGATTCTAGTCCAAATTCAGAAAATGTTAGTTTTCATAATAATGTAAACAAAAATACACAAATACTGGCCCCACCTGCTCAAGTCTGACTCATCAATCTTCTGAACTTCACTTTTAAGTTCTTGATTTCACACATCAAGAATAAGCCAGAAAACGGTTTTAAATTCTTACTTACCTCACTTAGAAAGGATACTAAGCTGACATTAACTTTACAAGGAATATTCACACTTCCAAATTGCATCACTTAGCCATTTGCCAACCCATTTAGGATGACATCATGAATTATTATACCAATTCTGGTGTCAGGCCAGCGACTTGACCTAGATAAAATACCCGTGTAACCAGGTAAATAAGGGGCACAAAACAAATGAGGAATTGACAAATACTGCTCGCCAGCAATTTATGATCATTAGTCTCACACCCAAAAACCTTTGTAAGACGACATTGCCAACGGTGACCTCAGCAGCAGCCAGCATTGCCTCTGCACAGACAGAACTGGTTTGCGAGAGTTCGGGGCTGACAGTGGCATCTGGGTTCTTTCCACGCAGAAAGTTCTTTATATCTAGTTATTTCCAGTCTCTAAAGACAAACTAAAGCTCAAGAAAGCACAAAGGATACAGTTTTACAACGTCTGTGTCCATCCGACGCTTCCCAGGACTTGGGGACGACATTATTAGAGAGATTTTTAGCCTTGATCTTTCTCTGTCGATATCCAAAACAACAACAGCTATGGCGGAGCTCTTCTGCTATGGGATTACGTTATGTCACGTGACTACTCAAAACCCTCCCCTATTTATTTTGTCTTCCTTCAAAACTTCTAATATTTTGCAGAAAAATGAGTGTTTTTGCTCATTTGCATATTTAAATAAGCATATATGAAGAAAATAAAAATGCACAAAAATAATTTAGCAAAATGAATCAGCTGTTTATTCGCATGGTTCACAGATCGTTCATTGATTGACAGATAGTCCCAAAGAGGAAATACTCCACCACGCAGTCAGCTGTTGGATGTAAACAAACCCGCATGCTGACCGATTTATATTTAGAAACGCGTTGCTGGGTGCATTGTGGTCGTTTTCTCAAACACCTTATTTATGCTGTCTTCTATTTCTAATTCAGAATTATTTATTCAGACTATAACGCCACATAAACAAAATTTCAGCTTAGAAAGCTTTGAAAAATGAAAAACAAGGGGAAATGGACTGTATTTTTTTCAAGACTTGACACGTCACTAGGCTATCTAGTTCTTGGCTTCAACAAAGGTCAGCGAATTGGACAAAAAGTGGCGTATTAGAATTATATATTATAACGATTTTTAGAATTTACAGTTTAAACCAACAGCGACCTATTTCATTCAAGTTTGTGGGGTAGTTTTGTTTTTTTTTCGCTTTGACCTTCAATTGCCAACACAGGAACTGGGTCAATAGTGCCTTTTGAGAAGCATTATGACTGCATTCTTCCCCTTGGTTTCATCGATCGTAAGTCAACAGTCAACGTAGGCCTACAGCTCAGTTGGTTGAGTTTGCCTACCGTCAGTCAAGGTTGAAGAGATGGGATCAAGGATTGGGTCTACCCATCTACTCAGAAACCGTTACCCGGATCGTTAACATCATGTCGTTTTGGCCCTACGGAATTGGTTGAAGGAAAAAAGAGTAACAGAAAATAAGTTTTCTCCTGCTTGTGCAACAGACATAACATATAGGTCCGTATAATAGGAAGTGCGAATAGGGATGCAGTAATTAAAATTTTTAAAAACTCTAGTTTTATTATAATGGCCTTTAGATTTATTAGTAATAATGTTTTCGCAACTGAATTGGGTTCATTCAAACAATTTAGTCAGTATAGTCTCTATTGTGAAAATTTACTGAGTTTTTCTGGTACGTGTAAAGAGTGGTTTATATAGGCCTATAATATAACTTACCAAATACAATAAATAAAGAAAAATACAATTTTGTAAATAAGCAATACATCGAGCAGTAATGCGTAGGGCGTGTAATTTTGATACGCTGAGTTTAAAAAATATAACTAGTTTTATTATCATAGTGATATACTTGTGTTTTTAACGTGTTTAATTTTTTCTTCCCGGCTAAAATAAAAATCAAAAGCAAAGGGACGCCGCTTTCCTGTGGCAAACCCCCAAAAATATTTAACATGTCTAAAGCCCGCTACACACCTACAGTTAGCTTCGCCGGATTCACTCGAACAGACCGCCGACCTGCTGGAAGAATGGAAGTTGTGTATGGGGGTGGTTCGGACTGTGCGGGCGAAATAAATGATAATTCAATTTGGCTGCCTTCAGTTCGACATTAAGGCTGCTACACACCTGCAGTTAGAATTGTTCGAGTCGAGCTGTCGATCCGGTTAAACCGGAACACGGTGTGCATTCACCAAGGAGTTTAGAACTAATGGAGCCTTTTAATCTCCTTGGCATTCACCCACACCACGGAAGTAGACAGCAAAGCATTCCCTTGTTGTCATGGCGGAACATAAAATCAAATACAAGAAAAAAGGAAAAATATAATTTTGTAAAACAGCAATAAATCGAACAGTGTCCACGTTGATACTTTGTTAATTTTAACACGCTGAGTTATAAAAATATATAATTATTTTTGTAATCAGAATCAGAGTGACATTTGTGTTTTAACATGTTAAAATGTTCTTCCTGGCTGAAAAAAATCGAAGGGACGCCGCCCTCCTGTTGCAAGCCCCAAAAAATATTTAACATGCATGTCTAAAGCCCACTACACACTTGCAGTTAAACTCACCGGATTCACTCGAACAGGCTGGGAGAATAGAAGGTGTGTATGGAAGTGGTTCGGACCGTGCAGGCGACAATGTCAGTTTGGCAGGCTTAAATTATTCGGTTCGACATTAAGCCCGCTACACACATGCAGTTAGACTCGGCCTAGACGCTCAGAGTACAAGCCGCCTCACCAGAAGTAGGTCAAGGAGAGATCGGGGCCCAGCGCTGAGTGGCGCAGCCATCGTAGTGTGGTGCAGAAGTGAGAGGGTATGAGAGCATCACGTGCTGTGTGCTTGATTAAACAAGTGTCCCCAAAATTACGGCATTTAAGGTATATTATTTCTTCAACGTAACTATTACCTTCAAAGCGGAATAGAAAATAAACATTAATGCTTTAACTGAAAAAAGCAATAAACAACTTAAATCATAGTAAGAGATTAGAGAACGTCTAATAGCGGCGATGAATGTAGGCTATAGTCTAGAGAGGCAGTGGGTAGTACAACAAGAGTAAAGGAAAGCATTATAGTAACTATGTTGCTATCTTCTTTGGTAAGGCAAACATAAAGAACAGTATTTACAATTTTGATCAAGCAAGTACGATAGGAAATACACACACACACACACACACACACACACACACACACACACACACACACATATATATATATATATATATATATATATATATATATATATATATATATATATATATATCTCACTCGAACAGACCGACCTGCGGGCAGAATGGAAGTGGTTCGCGACCGTGCAGGCGACAATGTTATTTTGGCTACAACCCAGCAAAAAGACCAAGAGAGACGTCGTACTCGATAAAAATTATCCCTGCTCTCAGGTCGCCTGCATACCGACAGCCTAATGTGGTGTTCACACATGCAGAAGTAATGAAGCCGAGTAAGACAAAATTTCAAAGTCCAGCAGGTTTACCCTGGATACATTTCGCCGCGCAATCGGCCTCCCTTCCCGAGCAATATTTCACGCTCGCCGTGTGAAATTATTACACGGGAAGCTTGCCGAAATTTTCAAACATGCTTAAAATTTTCGCCGAGCGAAAAATGAGTCGCCGGGTCAAATACTTGCTCGGGGAAAACTCGGGGAGTGTCAGAAATCTCAAATAGCTCGGGGTGCAAAGTTGCACACGTTGCCGACACGCCGACGGGATCTGACTGGTAGCCGAGTCAAATTGCATACTCTGCTGGTTAGATTATTGCTCGCTGTGTAAAAAATCTTGCACTGGAAGTCTGAGTTACTCAAGCACCGCGTGCAAGAGTTGAACGACGAGCATGCGCCGTGACACGGCGACCTTCGCGCCCGAAGCAAGGAGATTAGAAGTAAACTCCTTGGCCCGAAGCCATACTGTAGAGATCTGTAACTACAATGTAGGCCTACATTTATTTCCTGTTGCCAGGTATCGAAGAGTGACAGCCAGCTTGATGCCAGGTTCCAGCGACTGCCTGCAGAAGGTGTTTGCTTTGTGGATGGCGGGTCCAATTTTCTCCAGTAGTTCTTAGAAAAACTTTGAGGAAGTCCCTGAAGGATGCCACATCTTCAAATTGCAGTCCAGCCTTCAGCTTCTCAAACTGTCCAAACAGTAAGGGTCTTCTTATGAGCCATGGTCCTCCTCCTCCTCCTCCTCCTCCTCTTCTTCTTGCACCAGCACAACAGCAAGGGCACCAAAAATTATGTATACGTGAAGTACGCATTTATCGTCTTTATGGTATGAGTCATGAAACACGTTGAAGGAAGGAACACAACCATTTTGCCCAGCTCTTCATATTATAACATTGCACGCCAACTAACTCGGCGAAGGGTCGGCAAGATGGTCAGCATGGTTGGCGAGTTTGTCGGCGTGTCAAATTTTACCCGACCACTATGTTTCTTGGCTCTGCAAGCGGCCAGGATTCAAATTAATTTGCTTGACGAGACGCTGTGCGAGACGATCGGCGAGATGCTCGCCGTCTTAAATTATACCTCGGCGAGCGTCTCCCCGAGTGCTCGCCGACACAATGATGTCAACAGACATGGCCAGGTGCTCGTCACGATGAAACCCGAATTTGGCATGATCTTATCGGGAATTGCTCGTCGACTCTTCTCGTGTATGCATGTGTGAACACCGCATAATCGCTACACGACAGACGCCAGGATCCCTCGTTTATGACGTCATAAAATAATCAAAACGGATGTCACCTGAAACTCCCATGGTTTTATAGATTAATAAGATGATGCGGAGTTTTCTGTTTGCCTATTATAATCTCTCTTGAAGGGGACGCGCGCAAATACATGTGGTAACATTACCCGTTATACGTTCGAGCCTTAATACGACCACAGACTCCCCACCGAAATGTGTAGTCCAGATGATAATACTATAATGTAGCTCTACTGCTGAACACTTCTGTAATGTAGGCCTAAGGGCCTACAATAAACATGCCCTTGACCTTATTATTACCCTCGGCTTATGACATTATTATGAAGTTGTTGGTCTTCACTCATATACCGTGCTTTCGTGCCCCCCCCCCCCCCCCCCCGGAGAGAGAGAGAGAGAGAGAGAGAGAGAGAGAGAGAGAGAGAGAGAGAGAGAGAGAGAGAGAGAGAGAGAGAGAGAGAGAGAGAGAGACTGAGACTTTCCTGTAGCAAGCCGTCCTCCAATCACCCGCTCCTTATGTCATGTAGAGAGACAGTTTACGCTGTGTACATGTTTTGAATTTAAAGAAAAACATTACCGTAACGTAGGAAAATTTGGGGGCCTGAAAATCTGTTCGCCGTGTGTGTGCGTGCACGTTATAATGTTTGCTATGTACGTGATAAACTGTAAAGATAGAGATGATACTAAAATACTATATATTATGTACTTTTCTACCTTTACACCCCGTGTATGCGAACAAAAATAAAAATCCTACAAACATCTTACAAAAAGTAAAACGGAAAGTTGTTCTACAATTTGTTCAGCGACTGTTCCAAATTTTAACAGCACCCCATGCCTCGCCCCAGCAAGGGCCGTTTTGATCCAGTCCATGCAACGCAAAACTGAATTAATTAAAATAATTTAAAGCCATTACCACGAGGCAAGAAAAGTCTAAATAACTTGACAACTTTCGAGGAATTAGTCAAGTTAGCAGCAATATTGGCGGAGATTTGAGTATTATTTCAGTTTCTTGGACCTAACTCGCACGTTAACTTGTATGGGCCTACATATATCGCTTTTTTTTCTCAAATTGAAACGGCCAACTAATGGCAGACGACTTAATGTAACCCCCCCCCCCCACACACACACACACAAATGCACCAATTACCATGCAATACCACTTTTACTTGTGTATGGAAACTCTAAAAGTGGTGGTTATACCCCGTTTTAGAAAAAAATAAAATGAAAAGTTAAGTAAGGGGTTCCCTCTCGACATTTCAGTAATGGTGTGCTCTACAGGATAAAGCGTCATTTTAAAAAAATGTAGGCGTTTTCAGTCCCTATCGACTCAAGTTAGATCATTTAGGAGACGGGCTTCAACTATGCCTGTCAGGGCTAACCCGGGCTGAGAGGGGTACAACATCCCCCCAAAAAGACCGAGATACCGGGTACTCAATAAACATTCTCCCCACTCGGAAGTCGGACTTCGGTCTCCTCCATGCAACGGCGAAGCGTATTAAACCATAGACGCTGGTAAGCGTCAAATGGATAATGTATGGCCTTTACCATACATGTATTATAACAGAAAAGTTTGCCACATATTTTGAGCATCTAAAAAAAGCTCGAGCTACTTCCACCACTGGCTGATATGCGTGGGTTTGTGGGCTGCTAGTCTCTTGGTTTCTTCAGCCAACATTTTTTATCCGAGAAGCTTCACATGACTTGCTGTCCAATGTGCCTGCTGCTCTCCAACTGGGTCTGTCAGGAGCAAGGCTCTTTCATGCTGAAGTCGAAGGATTATGTTTAAGTCCTTCAGGGACATTTTAAAGGTGTCTTTTTGTAGTTTTTTGTTGTTGTTTGTTGCTGTTTTTTGGGGAGCGCCAACTTTACGCTTCCTCTAGGACAGTTCAGAATAAAATACATGTACAGCTTTTGTGATTCCGAAATCTAGTATTCTTGCGACATAGCCAGCCCAGCGAAGTCGAGTCTTTTTGAGCATAGCAAGCAAGAATCTTGACATTTGCTCTTTGGAGAATTTTTTTCCGTTATATTATTCGGCCATTTGATGCCAAGAATTCTCCTACGGCATTTAATTTGAAAATGGCTAAGCTTCTTGGTAATGGCTTTGGCACCTTACAACTGGGTAGGGAGGACCACAGCATTGTTCACTTTCAATTTTTGTCTCTGGTCGAGTGCCACTGTGCCACAGCAGTTCCAAACCCTTGCTATGAGTCTTCCAAAGGATGCACTAGCTTATTCATACACATAAAGCTATTTCTGCATCGACGTGGGCATTTGAAGACACTGCTGGGTAGATACTGTCAAGATATTTGTAGCCATCAAAATTGCTCACTGTCAGGATATAAATAATGTACTTTGATTTAAATTAAGAACGAGGGTATGTGTGTCACCAAGGAAAGGCTGGAAGGGGACTTGTCTTTGCTGTGATTATATACTTCTTATAAAAGTGAGTCCAAAGTTCTCACATGCATTTGAAAAGAGATCAAAACAGTTTTGTATTCTGGATTTTGACTTGCGTAAAGGGTTGCTTAAAGTGAGAAAGTGGCACAAACATAAGACTCACTCTCTTGCCAAGCTACAATGTACAGTTGAACCTGTGTAAGCCATCAATTTTTTAGGAGAAAAGTAGTCGTCTTAGACAGGTGGTCGTCTCAGGCAGGACTGATGAAAATGAAGAAAAACCTATTCCCATCTAAGGTCACAATCGCAGGTGGTCACAGGCTTAGGACTGCCGTCAGGCTTATTAAGATCCTTTTTTTTTCCTTTGAAAAAAGGGGTGGGGGATAGGAATGTTTTTGTTGATGATGTTGCTTTTTTCTATTCCTTTGGGGTTTTTTTGGTTTGGTTTTTTTTTCAGGTATTTTTTTTAAACACTCCCTTCTGAGTTTCCAACTGGAGTTGGTTGCAGGCTTTAGACATGGGTTACATTTCCTTATATATATATAGATGCCATCAGCAGCAGCTGGATTTATCTGAATGTCTGAACGGATTAAACATTTCTGTTAATACAGACAGAGGACGTCTCTCAACTGTGTATCAAATGAGGAAGACAGTATGCAAGGGTAAAACAAAATGAAATGTGTCAGATGAGGAAGACCGAGTGCCAAGGTAAAATAAACAAATGAATCGTAATCACTCGAAGAACGAGCAACATTTCTGTTGCAAGTTCATGCTGACGTCTATTGTTATGGATTGGGTAAACAGAGGGAGGGATCTATGCAACAAGACTGATTCATTCATTGAAGGGACTAACAACGACAAGTGAATGGATTATTTTATGACAGCTCATCCACAGCGTCGGGGGCCTATACATGATTTAAGACAAAACGTTGGGAAATAAGAGATTTGCGAGGCCACCGTAGTCTGTTTTTTTTTTAAACTGCAGGTTGATAAAATATATGGTGGTTTTGGTCGCGTTAGACAGGTGATCGTTTTACATTGTGAAATTTTATAGAAAAAAACGGAAAGGGGAAAACGGAAAGTGGCCGTTTGTACATGTGGCCATCATGGCAGGTTCAACTGTATCTGATGGCAACACCACTACTGCCTTATAACTATCTATTTGTCTGTCAAACCAGTCAAAAGAATAAGAATACTCATGTGCAGAATTCAAGACCTGAGAACTGACACACACAGATGGACAAGAAAGAAAAATGAAAAGAGTCATGTTCACTTTTGTGCTATCACATACATCAATCAAGCATAACTCAAAGCCCTGCAGCCTGTTTTTTGACATACAAAACAATTTCAAAAAAGGTTATAACCACGAAAAGCTTACTATGCTTCTCACAACACCAAAAATGAATTCAACAATTGAAGTCTTAACATTTTAACAGAACTTTAAGTCAATTTTAATTAAATCTGTATGCTGTTGTTCAATTTAATGATAATGGAGTAGAAAGACATACACACTACTAGTACATCCGTGCATTTACTCATGAACACACTCATAAAAATAATCCATACATGCCATGACAAAACTCTCACTTCTCACCACAGCAAACCACCAAAATTTCTCAACCTCATTAAGTCATCCGATAAAAAGAAATATATGACAAAATCACAGTATAATATAATCCATCTATCTGCTCAATCTCACATAAAGACTAAAAAAAGATGCACGCTATAACAAATGTACTCCTTTCACCAAAAACTACATGCATAAATTCCCCATATCATTCAGACCATCCATAAGAAATAGTATCTGCAATTCATCAAGCAAATCAAAATCAGATCTGATATATCAAATGGCCTCATTTTCTGTGTAAGCACCAACTGACAACAATACACAAACAAAAAACAAGTCTGCATTCAGCCTATAAAAAAGTTTGCCTTTCTTAGGATCAACACGAGAACATTTATAGTTTAGAAACAAACCAATGACAAGGCCAAAAGTTTTCCTACACAACACAACATAAGGCATTGATAACTCAAAAGTAATCCGAGTCTATGTAATTAGATTTCAATGATTAAGCATTGTAATTAGTATCATTGGACAAAAAAATGAAAAAAATCTATAATATGAACAAGGGTCTCAAAAGACATTTGGCCATCAAGTATAAGATTAAAATTTTAGCTACCTTACTGTTGGGAAGAAAATAAGAAACATTTGTTCTCAAGGATGTTTTCTTCGTTCTTTGCACAACACTCAAGCGTGGTATAGAAATAATGGAAATGAAGCACACACACACACACATATAATAGATAAATATTATATAGCTATGTATGTGTGTTTTCCATAAAAACCAGAACTTCATCAGGCACAACAAGTAATATCAATAGTAATATCCCACTGATAGAACTAAATAGCATTGAGAGTCCTGGTCTTTGTTGAACATGAGTTGAGCAAAGTACCCTCCCGAAAAAAATAAAAAAATAAAACCCAGTCCAACAAGAGCTGCCTCTACAATCCAATCCACTTAAAGATCGCCATCATCATCATCTGCCCTCTCTCGAGTCAAAAGCTAAGCCCATAAGGAAAGGTGACACCTGAAATAAAAAGGCATGATAAATCAAATGATTATTTAGCACCTTTCCATTTGGAGAATGATCAAAACACTTTAAAGCAACATTATACATAAACAAATGTCAGCAAAAGTATTGTTAACAATTATTCAAGCAAATAACCTAAGAGGCAAGTCATCCATTATACTAATTCAGATTCTACTCACCTAGGAGAAAATATTTCCTGCTTATTTTCTAAGTTTTCTTTTGGATTTTGTAATCATTTTTAAAGTGATTTTTCTTTTTTTTAAAGATGACAGAGTGAGGAAGAAATTATTGCTGCCTGACCAAAAATTTTTAAGAAGCCAGTTAGATGATGTTGTTTTTTTGGCGGTTTTTTTTGGGGGGGGTTATAGTAGAGGGTTTTACGGTGCTCGCAACTGCATAAGGTCATATGAACGCTAAGGGGTGGGTGTCAACAGAGAAGTCTTTACAGGGAATCAGACTTAGACTGTTCACCTCTCTAGCTTCAACAGCATAAGGTCTGCTTCGACTATCAAGGCACCCCGAATATAGCAGGTCACAAGAGAGTGACAAACATACAAAAGAAGTAGAGGAAAATGACAATAGTAAAGATCAGGAAAGAAAAAGCAGCAGTTTCCTGTTGTAGATCAGGCACAGTTATGAGCGTGACATGAGTCAGCCCATTTAAAATTCTACTATGCTTGAACGAGAAAAGTCCCCCCTTTGGGAATGGCCTAAAGACACTACAGTCAGTGGCACTGCCCCGGGGGAGTGGTTAGATGTTTGAGCATAACACTATCAATTTGTAAATTGTAATACTCAGCTGCATTACGAGTTGGGAGAACCAAAAGCTGACAAGCCCTGACATCTAGAGAGGAAAAAGAAGACTGCAAAAGTAGATCATTTGTTTTGTTTTGGTTTTGTAAGTTTATGGCACTTGCAAAACAATTAAGTCACAAAAGGGCCGAAGATTGGAGGTGTTACAAGAGAGTAAGAAGCACAAAAAAAAGGAGGAGGAATAAGGACAAATAGATGTTTCATAGGAAATAAGGAACAAACCACACCAGAGCACACCAGCAAACCAGCCACAAAGTAGATATAAGGTTTATTCCCACACCTGTAATACTCTGAAGGCACATCGCTTGTCCGAGGGTGTTCTCCCATACAGTGTCAGTGCCGCCCACAGTCGCTCAGCATTCCTGGGGAGAATCAGTGAACACAGTCCAGTTTTTCAAATTATTGAATAAAATTTAAAAAAGGCCTGCAGTCCATGCCCGTTTTTCTAGTAGTAGAGATTTTACAGCGCTCGCAACTGCATAAGGTCATATGAGCGCCAGAAGATTAGACGTGTTACAAGAGAGTAACAAACATAAAAAAGAAGGAGGGGGAGATAAGGACGATAGATGTTTGATAGGAAAGAAGGAGCAAACCACACCAGAGCACCCGCCAACCACCCGCATGCCCGTTTGTTTTTGTTTAAGTAAGAGTTGTACGACACCAGCAACACAAAAAAGAAAAAGAAAACAACAATAGATGTTTGATAGGAGAGAGGGAGCACACCGCACCAGAGCACCCACTAACCAACCACAGTCCATACCAAATAAAGCATTGTAATTTTGACAACTTGTAAGTAGGTGTGTGGGTTTACACCACCAGATGTATCAACACAATCAGGTTATTTACGAGGCGGGACCTCTGAATTTTATGTTTATCTCTGATAGAATAGAGCCAGTGGGTTGAGACCCTTGAAAACTCCACAAAATGACTTGGGTTCAAGAACGACCAGTATTGGATTCAAACCAACACCATCCACTCTGCATTCAAGTCAACTAAGCTAATGGAACTCCATCTACAATTTGTGGAACGAAAATTTATCAACAATTCTCTAAAAACAAAAAACAAAAAGTAACACTCATATAAGAAACACTAGACCTGAGTCTATGGTGCAGTAGTTAGACTCTTTGCAGTCGCACACTGAAGATGAAAAGTCAATTCCTGAGTGGGGAAAATTTTTATCAAGTATCTCAACCTGTCTGTTAGGATGGTATATATCCTATTCAGACTCAGCCCCAATTGGCTCTGACAGGTAAGGATGAAGAAGCCCACTTCCTATATGATCTAATTTTAGTGATGTAGAGGGTGTTAAACATCTCTATGAAAGATAAAACTGTCAGTAACGAAACTTCCACGAAGCCAGAAAGGAAAACAGTTCAAATTGAAAAACTGGAGTGAGCTTGATGATGCATCCCAGAAGGGGCCAAAAGTGGAAAATAATATGAAAATGAAAATAAGATTTTAAAAATGTGCAGCAGAGAGTCAATCACAGCTGAACTTTACAGAAAATGAGAGAGACAGCTGAGAGAGACGAGTGAAGACCCTACAGCATGCATGCAAAACGCCAAATACATTTCATGTAGACAAAAAAAACAAAACCCTGACTTAAAAAAACAACCAAAAAAAAAGATGAAAAGCATTAGCAAAAGGCAATTTAAAAAACAAAAAGAAACCAAAAACTTCCACAAGACTTTTTCATCTGAAACCACCTTTTTACCTTACAAAATGGTTAAAAGTAAATAAACAGTTGAAGTGTGAAATTTTGCTCAAACCAAAAGAAATAAGCAATACCTGTTTGGCATCCTCAACAAAGCAATTCCCTGTCCAAGTAACTTCAACACATCGACAGGTGTTGCAGCACCCACCTTTTGAAATAAATGACATGTAACTGAAGTTGAAACATAATATAATTAAAAGCACAAAATTGATGTACAAAAAATCAAAAGGCTGAGCAAAAACTTAAAAGAATTTAACTCTGAAGTCAAACAAGTTTTAAAATGCTGTAAAAAAATGAAATGAGGAAACATGCATGAAACTGTCTTCATTCCAAAGACGGGATTGAACCTAGAACAGGCAACTTTAACTTTGGTGGCCATTATGGTCTTCATGTCTGAACGGTAGTCCACATGGAAAGTAAGTAGGCTACCGTTAGGCCGTAATTTTTTGTGAGACAGCCCAAATATCTATATTTCACCAGGAACAGTATAGAATATTAAAATAAACAAAAAGAAGGAGAAAGAACAGACCACAACAGAGTATCCACCAAGCATAAAGTATGAATTTCTGTAAAGACAGGCATGATAACATAATAACAGTTATTATATGCCTGGGGGTGGGTGAGCAAGACTGACTGACGACAGATAAAACAGAAGAATGGTTTAAAAAATGTGAGGCAGCGTGGTGGAATCAGGCTCTCGTCAAAATAATCAAAGTGAACAGACCGGCAATTTTTTCCGCAGTTTTGTGAATTTTTATCAAATTTTTGTTTTTCGGCTCAACACCTTTCATGCCCAATAAAGAACTCATTTCTCTGTGGATTTTTCTTAAAAACGTTGATAAAAGACACAAAAATGTACATTTTCAGTTACCACGGACTCTTAAGCTAATCTTTGGCGGCCATTTTCTCACTAATTTTACCTCTAAAAACAGGTGACCCCCACCTCCTTCATTTGCAAATATCTCGACTTGCATTCAAGATAAATGGATATTTTTTCATCCAAATAAAGACAAGTAACCAAGCTTTAAGATGATACCAATAACTCTACATGCTTAAAAAACTGACGAGAGCCTGATTCCACCACGCTGCCTCACAAATATATAACCTACCAGTGGCACCCTCCAACCATCTGCCATAAAGAATGCACAGAGGAAAAAAATTTCCAGCTACAGAAAAACAAACTCAGAGATATCGACATCACTCTATTATGATTTTAGCTGTACTAGCAATATCCTTACCTCTCCCATATTTTCTTTCAGGGCTTGCACAATCAAAAATTTGAACTGAACTGGGGTAATCTTGTCAGCATCTTCGCCTTCCACAGTTCTGGGAACAGCATTATACAGAACATGCAAATAAAAAAAATATCAAATAAAAACAACAGCAGTTCAACAAGCCCAACTACCAACAAGGTCAACAGGGAATGTCCATTTAAATTATTAATAATCATATTGTTCCTGTTTTTTATCAGACCCAGTACAGGAAAGGCAAAATATTGACGTACACAAACTTCGATACAGGCAATGTACTAAGAAAACCTTCCTTGGATGAAACATAGGGAAATAAATCAAGTTCAGTACAAGAACCGCACAAGGATAAAAAATACATGTATAACATCTATGAAAACTGTTAAGTAGACATATAGTATACTTGAATACATGCATGAGACATACTTAGAGCAGACAGTAAATTACCTACAGTACAAAAGTCTGTGATAGAATCATTTGATGACGGCACACTCTGAACACTTACAGTACAAATGATACAGAATTGGCACATATATGCAGAAAATTTTGATGAGCAGGAACTGACCTAAAAACCATAGCCTGCCCCATACCCCTTCACAAAAAAGAGAAAGACCAAAACTGTTGACTATAACAGAGAGCTTCAGAAACAAAGGACAATAATGAACTCAATCATCTCCAAGTAATTAATCACGATTCACAAGAACAGGGCAAATAATTATTTCAACACTCAGCCATCCCACCTTTACCCTGAGACCTCGGGAATCTGTCATTATTGAATACCTTTTACCTACAGTAGTCTCCGCCTAAACGCACAGTGCTCGGAAGGGCTCCTTAGCGTGTGTTTACACAGAGCGTGCGTTTACATGATCCTATGCAAGGGGAGGAACGGACGCAGTCATCTCAATTTCTTATTACTCTAGTGATCTCCCTTGGAGGAGGGGATCATTTTGGCTGATAATGTGACGACACGAGGCTGTATTGTGAAGGAATACCCCGACTGGGGAATACAAAGGCGTTGAATGAGGTGGGGGGGGGGGGGGGACAGACTCTATGTAATGAATGCACTATAAAACGTCGGGAACAGATAGCCCAAGAGGAAACTGTTGGTGATAGTCATAGAGACGACGGACCAGCCACGTGGCTTTCCAAGTTACCACCCCGACCGTAAATTCATGGACGACATTTGAATCATAGATCTCTACATTCAGAGAAACATTTCTCTTGTGATTCGTTGAAAAAGTACGTCTTAAAGTTCTTCGAGCGCAGCTGATTAGGCTTACTTGGCTAGATATCTACTCTTTAATCCTATAGATGCCTGTCAAGTGTTTTATGGAATTTACGCATGTCGCAATTCAGGCCTAGATATCTAGGTCTAAGTCTAACGTCTAACTAAACATTACATGCAGTCAACCAAACACCAGTTAGAAACCTTCTCTCAAAGATACATTTCCACTTTCCAGTGACCAATAAAAAAACAACAGTTCAGTCCCCCGATTTACCCCCCCCCCTTCCCCCAACTTTTCACCGACCAGTCCTAGACCTAGATCTATGCGTGTGTGTGGAAAGTTGGGTGTGAAAACGCTGTCCATCAATCTCTTTGTTCGGCCTGAGGGGCACGCTCACCATATATCCGGTTTTCTAGGCTTGTCTTATGAAAACTGTGCAGGCTGTAGTGAAAATTTCCCCGTCAAGCTTTACCTGTCAGCGTGTTTCGCGGATCGGAGCGTGCGTTTAGAAGGAGTGACCGTGCGTTTGTACGTCTAAATTATAAAGTAATAAACCCGTCAGATGACGAAAGCGCGCGTTTGAGCAGAGCGTGCTTTTGTATTGTGTGCGTTTAGACGGAGACTACTGTACTGAGAGTGTGCAAACAAAGACAAAAAAAGTAATTCGTTTAACATGACTTACAACTGTATTCTCAGATACAAATAAGGCTGTGAGTTGACTGATATGGTCCGGTATGAAGTTGTACTCATCGCTTCTGGCATTCTCATCTGGAAATAGCAAAAGAACACATGAGTTAAAATCATCATAGACACTTACAGTGATTAGGGAAAGGTGAAGTTTTACTTTTGGATAAGATTAACATCTCACTCAACACAAATATTTCATTTCAAAGGCAGAATTTGGCATTGAGGCCCCCCCCCCCCCCCCTTTTTTTAAATCACAAAAAGGTACAGCGTGATATTGGCTTGGGGAGGGGGTGGGGCTGATGAAAAAAGAGATGCAGCAACAGGAGAAGACACTAGACTTGGAGAACTTCTGATATCCTCTTTTCTCAGTCCCGTAACTGGTGTTTGCAGAACACTACACCCAATGCCTGTTAAGCACGGCAGTACAGGAAATAAATTTCGCCAGAACCGCCCAGCACTATTGAACGCACTCAAACACTAACTGTGACTTACAGACCGACAAAGCACAAGATCTCTCATATTCTCATCCTCTTCAATAGCAGGTTGCTCAGGAGTGAAATTAGAAACAATTTTGTATAAAGTGCCTTTACCAAGGACACAACATCAGGCTCCTGATAGGATTCCAACCTACAACCTTACGATAGCCGATAGCATGTTCAATAAGAGCCTACAAGGCCAAGGCTACCGACAATGGGAAGAGCTCGAGAGCTGCTATCACATGTGTGATTGTCAAAGCTAAATTTAAGTAACTAAAAAATTATACATGAAGCTACAGCGAGCACCTAGCACACCTCTGTGATTGGCCTAAATATATAGATGACGTATTTCCGCCATCTATTTTTGTCGCCTTCCATGGCTTCCCTCGCCAGTTGACTAGATCTCACCGTAATGGGCTCCCTGTATTAGCACGCGATGGGCAATGTCACTAAGTTTCATCGTCGACTGCTTGGGCTGTGTGTGGGTGTGTGTAAATGTGTGTGCGCGCGCGTGTTAGTGTGTGCGCTCATGCTTGTGTGTGTGTGTGGGTAGAACTTTGAGGAGAAGGTAAATTTGAGGAACGAGAATTGCTGCGATTATTTATAAAAGATCACAAATTAATTTTTTAAAACCCCCAAATATACGGTGAGATCTAGTCAACAGTCACTGGGTAGGGAAACCCAAGAGTTTTGGGGGAAACCCCGGAAGACGATAAAAATAGATGGCGGAAATACGTCATCTATATTAAATTAGGGCTAATCACAGAGGTATGCTAGGCAGCTAGATGTAGGTGCTCGTTATAGCTTCCTATAATATAGAAGGCCTATCTAAAAGTGATACACATGAAGCTACAGCGAGCACCTAGCACACCTCTGTGATTGGCCCAAATATAGATGACATATTTCCGCCATTTATTTTTGTTGTTTTCGGGGGCTTCCCTCGCCAGATGACTCGACTCTAGATCTCACCATGGCCGCCCCATTTTGTCGCTTACCGTGCGATCACTAGGATTCATCGAAGACAGCTTGGGCTATGTGCGCGCGCGCGGGTGTGTGCACATATGCTTGTGTGAGGGTGTGTGTGTGTGTGTGCAGCTTTGAGGAGAAGGTAAATTTATGGAACAAGAATTGCTGAGATTGTTTTTAAAAGATTGCACAAATTAACACAACAACAAAACAAAAAAAACTAACATGGCGAGATCTAGTCAACAGTTAGCCTAGTGGCGAGGGAAACCCAAGAGTCTTGGGGGAAACCCCGGAAGACGACAAATATAGATGGCGGAAATACGTCATCTATATTTGGGCCAATCACAGAGGTGTGCTAGATCTAGATCTAGATGCTCGCTGTAGCTTCATACTTCATGTAAAAGTAATGCATGTGTGCTACAGATGGGTCGCGAGCGTGAGAACGGAACTGAATCGCCACTCTTGCCTGCGGAACGCGATTCACGATTCACTTCAGCGGAACGCGGAACAGTATTGCCTACCGATTCCCGATTCACTCCCCTGTCGCTGTCACCACCTTGCAGCTTATGTTTTTGTAACCTACTGCTGAGTCGTGAGTCGCGAGCGCAAGAACGGAAGGGAACACTTAGTATGGCTCCCCTTATTTTACAAAAGATGGCATAGTCCAACCCCCCTATTAAAACAAAATGAACGGGGTCCAGCGAATAGACAGAAAGAATTTTATGGAGCCATTGTATTAGCAAATCATGGGGTTTGAGGGGGGGGGGGTGAATTTATGGGGGTCGCTAATTGAGGTCAGTAGATAGGGCAGCGTAACGGAGGGTGTGGGGCGGAGAGGATGGCGGGACAACAAGAGTGGGACTCACGCTCGCCAAGAGGCGTGGATATGACACTGTTCCGTTTCAGTCAGTGTTCCGCCGCAGTTCCGCGAGCGCTCGCGTACTCGCGATTCATTGAAGTCGACTGAATCGTGAATCGCCACTCTCAGATTTGGCGAGCAGGATCTAGATTTCTAGATCTAGAATCTAGAATCTAGCGTTAATGTGTGCAAGTCAAGAGTAGAGTGTCGAGTCAATTTTTGTGTTTCACTTGGACTTGAGCCTGCCCTACTCACACTATTGCAGGCAACATTACTAACTACTACTATTATTATACTACTAGATCTAGTAGTCTAGATCTAGATCTAGAGAATCTAGATCTAGATCTACCTCTGATCTGTACTGTAGTTGTAGGCTATTGAATGAGAGATCATGATGATGATTCTGATGGAAAAAAATAAGAGTAAGAAGAGGGCATGTTTCATTTCAAATGTCACACAAACAACCTCAAATGCCTCAAATATTTACTTGACCAAAAATAACGAAACCTTGGAATAATGAGGATTAACTGAAAAGTTACTTTCGTTGAGTAAAACCATGCTCACATCGTACAATTCCAGAAGATTGTTGATAGTCACAGTGCAGCAGTGACTGAGAACCGAGAGTAGGCTAGTGGGAGTGTAGTGGAGTGGAGAGTGGAGAGTCGAGAGAGATAATAGAGCAGCCAAGAAGAATGACTGCTACCAGGAAAAATAACTCTTAAAGACTATATTATTCACTCACTGAGAATCGTGAGAATAGACTCCCTTGATTCCACATTCTTTCATCATTGTACTTTCGGTTTCATCAGCTGTGCTACTCGCATCAAGGTTTTAGTCAACTTCTTTTTTCTTCAGGGCCTGTAAATTTGCTCTGTATTTATGCATTTTATATTGTGACTGTTTTTCCAACTACACATGCGACATTTTAACAATAGTTTACGTTTCACTCCTCATCAGTGACTGATTTTTTGGTACTCTCAGTTGAGTCTGAGTAGGCTAACCGGCCTAACCTAACCTCAGTGACTGTTGTAACTTGTACTTGTTTTGTAACTGAGTAACACAGTCCGTTCGACATCGAAGAGTGATAGGCCTAGTGACAGCGTAATCAGCCACGAAAATAATAAAAGATCGAGAATTTCATTTGAAATCTTCAAAATGAAGTGCTCAAAGTCGAATGTTATGATGTGTTCATTTTCCTCATGGTACAAGGCTTTTGAGGATGTAACAGTGAAGAGGTAAGATGTGATGTCAAAATCAATGAAAATGTCTTTGGCTGGTCTTTCTTTCTACACGAAGTGTCATAAGTGCATACGTAATATGTGTCTTGATTTATCTATGTTCTTTTGATTTTGAATTTTTTCCTTGATTAATATACTTTGCAAGCCCTGACTTCTTCACTGTATTGTGTGTACCGAACTCAAGGTGAGACAAATAGCGGGGATCCATAATTTAATTTTAGTATTCACTTTGTGTAAAATCAGAGGTTATTATTGAGAGAAAAAGCACAAAAACATACATCAGTTAGATAGGCCTCTATGACAGGCATAATAAAGCTATTTTCAGGTCCAGCTGTTTTGGTCAGTTTGAGGCTGATCATTTGCTGACCTCACTCAGTACAACGCTGATGTTTGTATGATTTCATTGACTCCAAAGCTTCCCTGAATCTCAAATGTCATTGGATAAGGGGTCTACCTGATCTAACAACAATTTAAAACATTATTGTTATTTATATTGGCGATGTTGTGCTATGGTGTACAATAGAAAGAACTGTTTTGTTCAGAGAACTTGGAATGATAAAAAACATGGGTGGAAAGGACTTTCAGATTTGTAGACCGTATCGTGTATGAAGGGTTTGCAACTTTTTGTGTGTTATGTAATAAATGTCATTGTCTTGTAATACAGTGGAAATAAGTTAAATAAAGAAATTTTTTTTACTGTCATATATATATGAAAGTGGCTATTCTCACCCGCCCGGAAGTTCTCGCAAGATCAACTCCTCCCCTCTTCTCTCTCTCTCTGTCTCTTTCTGAATACTGTCTATCGGTGTGGACGATCAAATTGACCAAAACAAAGTTAAAAATGATGTTAATAAACAAAAGTAAATTAATTTGGCTGTCTACAAAGATGCTACAGCTATTTAACTTTTCGAATCGAGCCGAACTACGCGGGTCGCCATTTTGTTTTGCCCTGAAATTCTCGCGCTACTCCTCTCTCTCTTTCTCTCTCTCTCTCCACTGCCCACAGACAAAATTGTACGCTTTTAGTAGGCTACAGTTGTAATGGAACGTTTGTTCACGGCACAGAATTCTACAATTTTTCTGTTATCACAGTGTAGAATTCTGTGGTTTAGCGTGAACGCAAAATTTGGTGAACGCGCACTGGGTGAGAATAGCCACAAGACTCGCCTGCACTATTCTCACTCCGGGTGAGAATAGAGGTGGCCTATATATATACAGTCGAACCTGCCCTGACGGCCACCTCTATAAGACGGCCACCTGTGCAAACGGCCACTTTCCATTTCCCCCTTGCGTTTTTTCTATATAATTTAACTGTGTAAAACGGGCACCTGTCCAACGCGGCCGCAGCCACCATATTTTAACACACAACCCCTATCACACTAAGCAATAACACCTGTCTTAGACGGCCACCTTAGTGACTCCATTACGTTTTGTCATTAATTGTGCCCTGGCCCCTGGCGTTGTGGGCAAGCTGTCATAATTCAATCAGCTGTCGTTGTTATTAGGTAGTCCCTCCGACTGATCATGTTGGGTAGGCCCTATACGTTCTTACTACATGCCATCTCTCTGACCGTCTAGGGTAGGCCCCTCCCACTGTTGCCCAATAGGTACCAATTTTCAGCTGCTGGTGAGGAAAGCATGTGATCCCTCATAACCCATAAGCCCCGCCCAGAACTCATACACAAATAGTAAGTGAGATGAGTGGTCACTGTTTACCCAGTCTGTTGACAAAGAAACAATAGGAGGTCAACATGAACGCGTCACTCGTTCTCCGAGTGGTGGCGACCCATGTGTTTGTTTTAACATGGTACTCGGTTTTCCTCGTCCAATACATTTCGTTTTATTGTCACTCTTGAGCAAAATCAGCAACGAAATAAAAATAACAAACAAAATACAAACCAACAAACACAAAAACAAGAAACAATGCGGCTACTTTCGATTGGGACTTCAGATGGGAATGGTTTGTTTCTTCATCTTGATCAGTCCTGCCTAAGACGGCCACCTGTCTTATACACAAATAGTAAGTGAGATGAGTGGTCACTGTTTACCCAGTCTGTTGACAAAGAAACAATAGGAGGTCAACATGAACGCGTCACTCGTTCTCCGAGTGGTGGCGACCCATGTGTTTGTTTTAATTTTTAACATGGTACTCGGTTTTCCTCGTCCAATACATTTCGTTTTATTGTCACTCTTGAGCAAAATCAGCAACGAAATAAAAATAACAAACAAAATACAAACCAACAAAAACAAAAACAAGAAACAATGCGGCTACTTTCGATTGGGACTTCAGATGGGAATGGTTTGTTTCTTCATCTTGATCAGTCCTGCCTAAGACGGCCACCTGTCTTATACAGCCACTTTTCTCCTGGACAATAGGTGGCCGTCTTACACAGGTTTGACTGTATATATATATATATATATATATATATATGTCGTACTAACAATTTTGTTCTCTTTTTTCCCCCAGTATTGTCCTTCCTCTTCCAGATTTTTTTGTCAGCTACCTTCATGCAGATGGTGTGGTACTGCCAGAAAGGTTTGTATTTGAACGAGTCTTCAAAGTTATTTACAGCATATCTTAAGTCTCTCTATGTATGTGTCCTTTAACACTAACAGCACCGTCATAGTGAAAAACCCTCAAGTGCCACACCAGTTTAGAACGCTGAAGTCGTGGTAGATTTTTAAAAAATAAAAAAAACCTTGGCAGCCCCTAGAAACATGCTTAAAAAGTTCATAGAGGTTCATCAGCCATTCAGTTATCATAAAAAGTGATTTCCTTTGGTATTTTTACTTCAGTGCGTTGCGTCCATTCGTTGTTAAATTATGTTAAGTGTGCCTGGTTCAGTGGTTGCGTCAGCGACTAAAGTCGCCAGTGGTAGTGAGCGCATACAGTGGAACTCTGATTCAACGAGGTCACCGGGCCTGACCTAAAACCTCGTTGAATCCGAGTGTTCGTTATAGCAAACATGAGGTTTTGTGTAGATTATTACAGGCGCTGAGCACATAAGGTGTAAAGAGAAGTAACAAGTAATGCCTGAAATGCCAGCATATTATGAGCTGTGTAAAAAAAAAAGATCAATTCGATAAAATGCACGTCTATGTCATCTCGACTGTTTGCCAAAAGTTGTGTTGCTGTGTAGAGCCTAGCACACGGCAACTTTTGATTCCATAAAACAGCGCTCAATTCATTGCGTAGATCTATGTCTATACTAGCTTATATAATAATGATCAGTTGCTGAGGGGTAAAAAAGACTGATGCGTTTGTATCTGCGACGGCCCGGACCGCTGGTGTCCCCCCCCCCGACACCCAGACACAGTCACACGTGTGCAGGCAGCCCGTCCGACCCCGACACACGCCAGAGTATACACGTGCGTGTGCCAACAACGCATGTGTTTGTATCAAAAAAAGGCTGCTGATTGGTCGTATTCAATCGGCTAAGTGAACAATAGTACACGATGTAGGTGCAATGGATGGTTTCCGGGAAAAGAAAAATGAGTGAAGCCACGTCTGTGGGGGGCTGTTCCCCCTGGAAGTGACCTCGTTAAAACGGAGCTTGCTGATTGAAGTGCTCGTTCGTTAAATCCGGGTTATTTTAATTGATTTTAAAGTAGGAAAAAAAATGGGGAATCTCTCTCCTCTCATTGAATCCGAGTTCTCTTTGAATCCGAGCTCCTTAAATCCGAGTTCCACTGTACTACAGCCTGGCGAACAAAGTCGGTCTGAACTATGGTTTCTTCATTTCCACCCTCAAAAGTGTTGTGTTCTAAAAGTCAGCAAAGACAATGATAATGAATACTTTTGGACCAAGCAGTGGATGGTAGCACCTCAAGACCCAAACTGAATATAACAAAGAGAGAGAAAGACTAAGGAGTTGTGGTTGATGATAAATCAACCTTCAAGAGGTATGTAGCCCAGATAACATCGAAAGCGAATCTTATTGTCGGACTTATCAGACGATCATTTGACTACCTTTCTGAGGATTATGTTTTTTTTTGCTCTACAAGAGGTTAGTTAGCTGTTATTATGCACACTGTGTTTGGCAACTCTTTGAAAAAGGATTATGTAGTGAAATCAAGCAAGTTCAAAGGCGGGCTACCAAAATGCTGAGTCACCTCAAAGAAAATATTTATTCTGAAAGACTGAGTAGACTAAAGCTTCTTTCCCTGGACTATCGTTGGTTTTGTGGTGGTATGATCGAAACATATAAGTACATCAAAGGCTACTAAATCACCAAAAGGCCAGCTTGTACAAAGGCAACAGCCACACAACTCCGTGGTAACTTAGAGAAGCTCCAGAAGCAAAGAAGCAGATTGTGTGTGAGGGCAAACTTCTTTGAAAATCGGGTGCATGTTATTTGGAACAATCTCCTCGAGTCAGTGGTATCAGCTCCAATGGTGGACACGTTCAAGAGACGTTTGGATGAATACTGGAAGTACCCCACTTGTGAAGACTGATTAGTCTAGCCTGCACGCAATGCAATTTTCCAGATAGTCAAACAGGCTCTTCTAGAGCCTCAACCGACTTAATCGTCAATGTCAATGTAAAGTCGCCAACGGTACTGTAAACGTTAAAGATGGGGATAATAGAGCCTGTGTTTTTCATTCAAACTTCAAATAATTTACATCCTTTAAAGTATGAGATTGTCACTTTTGATTTGATTATTATACTACTATCATACAGTTGATAAGTGGTACATCTAAAGCCATATGATGTACTTTATGTACTTTGTAAAGATGTCATAAAAATTATGCACATTTTTAACCTCATGTTTCTGTAGTTTCAGTACAGTTGATACCATGCTGGACTACCATGTGGACAAACCTGGCTTGAGAATCCCTAATAAGAATTTTTTGTCTTCATCTGTTTGGGAAGTTTTAAAGACACTTCTCCCACTTAGCTAGGCCGAATCAGGGATGAATGTTAAATTTAGAGGTCCTGCCTCTGAAATGACATTACCGTGTCTAAAGTTGTGTTACACCTATGCTATACCATCAGCATTTTTTGAGAAAATGCTTTGACAGTACAAAATGTATTGTCATAATCATTATTCAGTGCAAGTGCTTCGGCGTTGAAAGTATATTTACAATTGAAAATCTGTATTCCCAGCAGGATGTGATTTTTTTAGAAAGAGATTATAGCTTGTTTAGGTAAGGAAATTAGTTGAGTGTGATCTTGATCTGCATTATTCTCATCTTTGTAACTTGTATGCGGTTTCTTCTATGCTGATGGGCCTAAGCATCTGAAAAAATGATGAATGTGTTGCATATGTGTAAACTGTATATCTTGCATTTGTAAAAACTCTGTCAAATATATTTTCAGTTCTTCACATGGAATCTACACGAAATCTGCAAACACAGCGATGGATGGAGATGAGGATGATCCAGATATCAGGGACGATGAACTCATGAAGATGTATGAGGTGCGTTTGAGCAAGTTGCGGGTACAAAACAATTGATATTTATTCCAATCATCTCCTGCTACAAAGACAAGAATTTTGTGGCTTGAGTAGGCTGGAAGTCTAGTCAAATAGTCAGTTTGCCTGTTGTCCCTTGTATGTGTGTGGGTGTGTGTCTGTGTGTGTGTGTGTGTGGGGAGGGGGGGACTTTCCTGCTAGTGATCTGACACCAACACAATGACATGTATAAGAGGTAACCCGTCTGTTGTACAGATCTTATTTTTACTTCTCTCTACTGTTTATGTCTTCTATCCATTTCTCTGTAATATACATCTGTCAAGGAAGGGTTCATTCTACCCAGACGTGGACTGCTTCTGCTTTAGTGAATCTTGTTAGTTGGGTTTAGCTCAGCTTATTGTTCCTTTGCCTCTAAGTTTTATGTAATGAGTTCATCTTGTTTTGACCTTGAAACAAAATATTTTGCATCAATATTATATACATTGCTGGGTTTTTTTCAGGATGACTGGTCCACCCCTGACAGCAGTGAAGGTGCCAAGGTAATATCTTAGCTACTCTCTGATTCTCCAACAAGTTTTCTTACTTCTTTGTCGTTTTTCCAATGCTTTATCGTCATTATAAAAAGACAAGTGATAAGAAACGAAATATTGTCATCAAATATTGCACTCCTGTTTTACTCCTGTTATGTATATTGTAGGTCTTGCTTTTTTTTACGTTTCATTTTGTGAAAAGTTAGTGTCCTTCTTATATGAGTTGGACCATAATAACATTACCAACTGTTCTCATATTCTGCTTCCTTTCTTTCCAAGTATTGCTGATACTTCAAAGGCCAATTTTGTTCATCAATAAATGAAACCTGATTGAAACAAAGGAAAAGTAGAAAATTTATTGTCAAAAAGCTGCTCTCCTTCTCTTTAGGTAGCAATTGTGTCATGTATAACAATGTGCCCTTTTTTTCTCACATTTTTTTCTAGGTGCCTGATTTTGGAGATTTTGATGAGTCCGTGAAAGAGGCCATAAAATCCCTGGGTGGAAAAGTTTTTCCAAAGTTGAACTGGAGTTCACCCAAGGTAATTCCAGTTCTGTGTCTGCCTTATGAAACCAAAAATTTTTCACTTCCAGTAGTAAAATAGCTGGCAGTTTGACACTGAACCTACAATTGTGGGTTTTATTTCTGGTTTTGTGTTCTTTAAACCCATTCACAATGTGGGGGGAAAGTGGGGGGGGGGGGGGGGGG